ATGTTTGCTTTTTAGGAAAAAGTTGCTTGTAAACAAGTTTTGCAAAGAGCTACAATCCATTGCTTTTTGCTAAACTTGTTATTTTAGAACTATTTTGATAAAAAAAACAAATATTCACTCAAAAAATTTTCGAACATATGAGACAGATTTTGAAATTTTACCAACGAGGAATTGAATTAAGTGGTAAGCGGCTTGTTCCAGTTTAAGTAAGGTTTCGAGTTCGAGACCTTGCGTATGCAGCATCCCTCGCTGGGAGACTCACCCACCATTTCCAGGTGCGCGACGCGGGTCGGGTCTGGATTAGTCGAGGAGAAGCCCGGGATACCGGGCGGGAAACCAAAAAAAAAAAAAAAGATTTTGAAATTTTTACTAAAAACGAAAATTTAGCAAAAGCTACACCAAACATCCTCTAAGATTTACCCCAAATTCCCAATTGCATCACTAGCCATAAGCATATCAAACTCACTGGTTTCATCATTAAACTACATTGCCTGCAATCTTAAACAACGTATTAAAAATAAATAAAAAGGAATAACTAGGAACTATATAAATTATTAAGGTAAGAAGATTCGTCATTGGATGACAATAAACATAGTATATCAAGATGGAAAGACTCACATATACGAAAGAAGAAGAATAAGTAGAAGAAGAAGAGAATGGCACTTGTCTTTGTTGGAGATGTGGCATGAAATTTGCAAATGGAAGTAAAATGAAATGTAAATGCAATGAATGAGAGCTGCTAAATGATGCTACAACATGCAAGAAAATATTAGTCAATGTTTTAGGTAGCCAAAAGTGACAGCAGCATGGAGTTGCACATGGGCTGCAAGAAATGCTTGCAAATTTTTACATTTTAGTCAATGTATTAGGTGGCCAAAATTGACAGCACATCGGAGCTGCACATGGGCTGCAGGAAATTCTTACATCTTAGCCAATGCTTTACGTGGCCATAATTGACAGCAGAATGGAGCTACTCTGCACATGGGCTGCAAGAAATTTCTACATTTTAGTCCATGTTTTAGGTAGCCAAAATGGAGCTGCACATGGGCGGCATGGAATTTCTACTCTTTAGTCCATGTTTTAGGTAGCCAAGATGGAGCTGCACATGGGCGGCAGGAAATTTCTACATTTTAGTCCATGTTTTAGGTAGCCAAAAGTCATTGTATTTGGTAGAAAGTATTATTGTTTTATGTGAAGTCTTCCTCTATTAAAAGAAAGGAAGAAATTGAATGAAAATTGAGATAAAGCTTGGTTTATCCTCTTAGTTCGGTGAATGTGTGCATCCTTCCATCTTTATGTTCTATGTTATGATCTTGTTATAAGTTCTCTTTTACTACTATTCTCAAAGTCCTCCCTCTAAACCTCCTCCCTCTAAACCTTCTTCAAAAACCTAACAAGGTATCAAAGCCAGCCATTTTCAGCTTCCCTTTGTGTTTGACGTTGGTTGTACTTTCATCTGACATTCTTTCCATGATTTATGGTTACATATTTTCTACAAAATTTATTCTAACATTTAAATGAAATATTGTACTACATAAAGTAACATGAAAGGTATATTAAAACACTACCGCATTGCAGCAATCTCGCTGTCTTTTTCTATCACATTGCTGCAATTTTGTTGACTAATTGCAGCCTCTATTTACGTTTCATTTGCATTTTATTTTAGTTGTCTCCATAATATTAGCTTTGTTTGCTGCACTTTTCTTTCCATCATGCAAGATTTGTTGCTTCACATTTTTCTCTAGACCTACAAATGGATCGGGTTAGATAGGTTTGAATTGAATTACTTTGAGTCTTGGGTTTATCAAATTAGATTGTTTCAGATTTTGAATTAAAAGGCTAAACTCATGATTCATTCATACAAGTTTCAAATTAGATTTAATAGATTAATTTTTAATTAATCTTAACAATAAAATTTTTAGTATTTTCTGTGTTTCTTTTTAAAAAACCTATTATTGATTAATTATTTATTAAAAAATCTCTTAGATTAATATTAATTCCAATAATCTAATAAATAATAGTAATTTTATATTTCAAGATTAAAATTAAAAATGTAATCTAATAATCTATTAGATTAATATTAATTCCAATAATCTATTAGATTAATATTTTAAGTTCTCTTAAAATAAGGGATCGCAAGCAAGCTTATGCATGTTGACTTACTATTGCTGCACTCTTCCATGTTTATGTTCTATCATGACCTTAAAATAAGTTCTCTTTTCTTACTCTCCTCCAAGTCTTGCCTATACCCTTTTCCCAAAAAACTCGACATGGTAATATGGTATCATAACTTAATGATCTTGAGGGACTTGTAAGAGTGTATATTTTTTGAGGGAACACCTTTAAACTAGAAAACACCATAAATCCCAAAAGATTCCAGACATGTTCATGCGTAACCCCTCTTGCTTGGCCAAAATCTTTCAGCAAAAAGGGCTGTGAAGATGAAGGCATATGTTAGTCCTAGCATGGGAGATGTCAAGCAATGGAAAGCTGGATTCAAAGAGGTGCTTATGTATGTTTATAAAATCAGTCCAAACGACAAGCTTGATTGATGGAATGGGAAACTGAGGCCAAGAACTCGGTTTATAATATGCTCTTCATCCATCTTTTATGATTGCAATGCTACTTATGTCCTACTTTTGCAAAGAAAACTCACCATATATATGGCTTTGATGTTCTGAACTCCCACGGCTTTATGGTGAAGGAGTTTGGTGAAGAAGCAGCCAAGACCAAGCACAAAATCACAACTCCAGAATTTATTGAAGCATCCAAGAGCAAAGCTGCTGCAATTGAGTTGCTGAAAATGTTTAAGGCTCCAGAATTTGTGCAACAAGCAGAAATTCAAGGAAGATGGATTTGATTTTGCGGTAGGAGTTGAGATATGTGAGAAGATGGTATTTGGTAGCTAACAACAAAGCAAACCACAGCACGAAGGACTGAAAATGGCAGATTCAATATGCTAAGGCAAAATTTTGTTCATGCAGCTTTAATTCCAAGGAGTTTGTTGGAGCTATGGCATGAAAGCTGCAAATGGAAGTAGAGTGAAATGCATATGCAACGAAATGGGAGCTGCTAAATGATGCTGCAAAATGACAGCACAGTATCAGCGAAGTGACAATAGCATGGAGCTGCACACGGGCCGCAATAAATGGCAGCAACTTCTACATTGTAGTGAAGTTGCATTTAGTCAATATTTTAGGTAACCAAAACTCATTGTGTAAGGTAAAAAATAGGTGGAAAGTGAAGAATCACCCCAAAATTATTAGGTTGCAGTAAATTTATGCTTGAGAAAAAAATATTTTACTACCTTAAATAGTTGATTTAAAGATTTTGACTCAAATTTAACTGTTGATATTAACCACTATCACCACTTTATTAAATTGTTGTAACCTATACCATGTCATAAGGTTTTAAAGAGAGTAATTACAACGGTTGATGCCAGCAGTTAAGTTTGAGTTAAAATCTTTAAATCAATAATATAAGATGACAAAATGTGTAAACTATTCTAACAGAAGTTAAGATTACAAACTACAGCGACCAGCAGGCCCAGCAGGCCCAGCACTCCCTCTGATCTTTTGCTAGCTAGAAAGGTGTAAGAAAAGGACAAAATATTGCTCACGCAGAAGGGAGCAGAAGCCATGTTTCAGGAAAAGGGTGCTTGTTTTGAACTTTTTGTAAGGAGATAGAAAAGAGGGGGAGAAAGGGGGAGGGATGCCTTTTTTCTTTTATTTCCATTCGCATAAAGTGCTACTTCTTTAAGTGTTGAATTTAGTTAACTCATAATTACCTTTAATTTAAAGTAATTTCTAAATTTGATTTCTGGAAAGTTGAAACTTCATTGAATTTTGGGTTATGGTTTTCCATTAATGTCCCAACAAAATCAACACAAGATGCTACTAGAATTAAAACAAGAAAAATTACTGGTATATAACAGATTTAACATCATTTTTAATATTCGTATTAATTTGGTTATTAAAATATATTCTTTTTGGTCAAATTTATTTTTTTTATTTTTAAGTAAAATTTAATTAGATTATTTTATATATTATAGTAAATATCTGGCAATTAAAATTTTTTTTTTCTCTTTATATGAAATTTTTACTTGGTAATTTCATTTAGATTGTATAACTACATTATAGGTTTGCTCATTTTTAATTTTATATTAAAAATAATAATTTTTAATAATTATAGTATTGAATATTTTGGATTATGGTGTATATCAAATAATTGGAAAGGCAAATCTCATCAAAACAAACTTGCAGAATATCATCACACGAGCTTGAAGAATATGATGTTTGAGAAACGAAGCCAAACAGTCCGATTATGAAAACAGAACGCAGAAATAGAGGACCCGAGAGGGAGAGAAGAGAAATCTAAGAAGAGCCCCTGCCCCAGGAAATCTTGACTCCCCATTTTATACTTTAATTAATCCTAGAATTTCTATAAAAAATTCTTAGAAAAAATTATCAACCCCCTGATCGGCGATTTGCAGTTAGATCACAAGGCTGGAAATATGATTTCCAAGAGTCACCCCATGAGTCCCGCGTGAGAGGCGTGCAAGACTGAAGAATGGTTGGCTCACGTGCTTTCTGCATTCTGATGATAATAGCTCATCGTACTCATCGACGGAGAATGGAATCCAAACGGTGTTTGGCAGAGTTTAATAAAACTTTTAGTCATTAAATTGTATATAAAAAATAAAAAGATTAATATTAGAGTTAGCATGAACATCTCCTATTAATTTAATTAATTAGTTAAAAAATTAAAGCTAAATTTTTTAAATATAATTTAATAATAAAAAAATTAATTATATAAAACATATTATATTGCAAACTTATAAGTTGTAATAGTATGTGATATTGTAACGGTAATATTTTTAGTAATTTTAGTAATTTGCTACTTGCACTATTCAACTTTAGTAAGTTTAGAATTTTTTTCAATAAATTAGAAATATAATAATTTATTGGTAAAATTTGTTATTTATGTTTAATTAATCA